CTTAATGAGTACTGTAGAGTTCTGGCTTGGATGTTGGAAACGAAATTTTATTGTTGGACATTTATTTTCGCCCTATCGCACTTTTCCATCTCTGAAATGAAGAAAGTACAGTCTGAGGAACAACGAAAGAGGCTCTTCAGTATCGAATTAATCTCAATTTCTAACTTCAACTGCTGTTTCACGAATGCTACAAAGGAATTGTAAAATCACCATACCTTTAAGGCACACACACTTGCATTTTCCATGTATTTGCTCAGGCATTCCGTGAAAAGAACAAACTCAGCATATTAGAGAAAATTTTCTATAATTTCTAAAATATATTTGGCTAATTGAGATACGAAGTTCGAGATGCCGTGATTATGTCTTGTGTTGGGCAAGGCCGTGGTCTAGGCAACACGGAGTTTTCCTCCGGGGACTTCCCCGGTTTCTCCGTGGCATCCCAACAATTACTCCATTCACACACAGAAGAAGGCAATGGCAAACCACTTCTGGATCATCTGCCAAGAACGTATATGAACAGGTCCCAGTCCGCGAAAAGGATGGAAGGATCCTGTTCATATGGACCTGTCATCAGACAGAACACTAAATAAATAAAAATAAATAAACCGCCTTGGGGACTTGTAGGTTGATACCAAATATTTGTAGGAACTTACTACCTCCATCTTCAGGGCTGATAAACGCAGGTGTGCTAACCAGTCAACTACAATGATCATTGATGACGATGATGATGAATGGAGTTCATAATCATTAAAATGATTTCCCTCACATGCTGATGGAAACAGGAGAATAGCTATTAGTTTCTGGAAAACGGAAGGTTAGGAGACGAAACATTTCGGTTTGAGAGATTGAAATGTCGTTTGTGGTGAATTAACTCCGACTTTCTCATTGTGATTGCAGATTTCGTTCCAGCTGGGGCTGAATAGTTTCCTCGCTTAATTGCCCAATGAGTTGCTCGGTACTAGGTCTGGATTAATGACACTGCATTACCTCCAAACCAAATTAGGAACTAAGATGCTACATTAGACAAATATATCGATAGAATCCTCTTAACTAACGTCGCGTTTACGATCTCCGTGCGTAGTAAAATATGATGAGGGGAGGCTGGAAATTTGTCATCCTTGCACTGGTACTCCAGTATAACTAAACTAGTTATTTGTCTCTTCAAAGACCATGAATAAGTCTTATAGACTCTGTTTTCTCACACGAAAGACCGTGTTCTTTGCCAGCGCAATTTGTACGGGATTTCTGGCCTGACCAGCCAGCAGATGTCGTAACTCTGATCGGCTCTTGCTTGAAGGAATACGCGGGAGATCAGAGACGCTCGCAAAACTTTGGATGGAAGGTGTGAAGGGAAGGGACCAGTCAGAAGATGGGTGGATAATATTAAAATGGATCTTAGGGAATAGGTCGGAAGGGTGTGGATTGGATTCATCTGGCCAAGGATAGGGACCGGTGTCAGGCTCTTGTAAACGCGGTAATGATTCTTAAGTTTCCATAAAATGAGAGAAATTTTGTAACTAATCGAGCATCCTATCATGTTTTGAAGAAGGACTCTGCTTTATGAAGTTAATTATGGAATATTTATCCAATCTTCAGCTCATTACCCAGTGTGATTATCCTTTTTTAAACTAGTGACTTAAAGTTGGTTGATATTGAATTTTCTCAGGACATTTGAGGATTCGAAGGAAAAGGAACTATCCCAAATAATTTGAGGGAAAATGAAACGGAGCTCCAGGATTTTTGGCAATCGCCTTGCATGTCCAAAAACATTATGGCTTTCGAATCGTAAATACTACCGGGGTAATGTGGCTTGTTAAAAGTACAACTAACCGCTAAACAAATTTGAAGTCGCAATCAGAAGTTGGTTGGGAAATGAAATCAGGCCCCAATACCTGGCTGATAAATGTAACGAACCAAGAGAACGAACCAGAAACTTGGAAACCGAGTTACAGTCCGACTGACACAACGTTCCTGCTGGCACCAGAAGCCAGTAAAATGTGTTCTTCTGCAAATAAAAATAAAATCCCTTTATCTTCATTGTTTTCCCTTCGGACTGTGGAAAAATATAATCTCTTTTTTTATCTTGTGAAATATGAATAACAACAGATATTGCGTAGAGGCAGGTACATAATTCCGACGGTGGGCTGAGTCAAGCATAATAGACCATATTTTTATTTCTGAATCCGACCGAAATGTATTTACAGAATAAACAAGCTTATGAAAAGTCCTTGTAGATCCCATAGTCACACTTTATTACTGCTGAGTTATAATCACATGCTTACCGACAGAGACTCGTCGGTAGATGCCAACGTTTCTGAGAAACATTGTCTCCATCTTAAGGGATGGAAGAACATCAATATGGCCGCCTTGAGAACCTCAAATCTCACAATAGTATTAACGAAACTCTGCCTGATTTAATTCTCGTATACAGAATGGTAGTCACACCAGACAAAAACATGCAGTTTCAGAACTATTTAATTACGTGATGGTTTCGGTAAGGACCTAGACAAAGTACGTGAGTTAAGAAAGGAAAATAAACACCTAATTAAATGGGAGTGTTAAGAAAAAGACCAGTATTGAAGCTAGTGTGACAAATGCAACCAATTTTCTGTCTGTATTCACACACAGAAGAAGGCAATGGCAAACCGCTTCTGGATCATCTGCCAAGAACGTGTATGAACAGGTCCCAGTCCGAGAAAAGGATGGAAGGATCCTGTTCATATGGACCTGTCGTCAGACAGAACACTAAATAATAATAAGATGAGGTGGTCTAGCGGTTAGAACGCTGGCCTTATAATCCTGGGGTCCCGGGTTCAATTCCCGGTGGTGCTTAGATTTATAACTTGTTTTGGGCAAGGCCGTGGTCTAGGCAACACGGAGTTTTCCTCCGTGGCATCCCAACAATTACTCCATTCACACACAGAAGAAGGCAATGTCAAACCACTTCTGGATCATCTGCCAAGAACGTATATGAACAGGTCCCAGTCCGAGAAAAGGATGGAAGGATCCTGTTCATATGGACCTGTCGTCAGACAGAACACTAAATAATAATAAGATGAGGTGGTCTAGGCAACACGGAGTTTTCCTCCGGGGGCTTCCCCGGTTTCTCTGTGGCATCCCAACAATTACTCCATTCACACTCACACAGAAGAAGGCAATGGCAAACCCCTTCTGGATCATCTGCCAAGAACGTATATGAACAGGTCCCAGTCCGAGAAAAGGATGGAAGGATCCTGTTCATATGGACCTGTCGTCAGACAGAACACTAAATAATAATAAAAAAAAAAATAAGTCGTACTTGACAGACAGACAAAGAATATTAATGTCTTGCACACCACGAGTTGACATCCACTCTCAATCAGAAATGGCGCTAAATTTCTTTGAAATTATTTTATTTGAATCTTCGTCAACTTTGGCGGGTACCGGTGGGCTCGCATTTAAGAACGCATTCAAATTTCAGTAACCATTAAAAGATTTTTTCAGTAAGCAAGCTTTAGTGAGTGTGTTATTTTCCACAAAGGCCGTGTCTGCTTAATACTGGTGAAGTGTTATTTTAGCCTTCAGTCCTCAAATAGTTGTTGAAATTACCACGATAGCATATTCAGCGCTCCTCAATCTCTAGTCTTTTTTATAAGCGCACTCTATCTTGGTTATCCTGAGTTCCTCCCACAGGATGGCTGGTTCTATCGGTTTTCATTCAACCACTTCAGCTCCTGTCATGCCAGATATCGGTATGGAATTAGAGACGCTTTAATTTGAAGCGAAAGAGACCAGGTCGTGAGTTCGAAGTGTCCACATCATGTGCTTACTTTCAAATAACATGCCTGAATACAATGTACCGTCAACCTAATGATTATTATTACCATCCGTTTAAATGGAGGGCCTCTGAAACTTTAGTAAACTTCTACCATACTACGCGGCGCAACAATCCAGACGACAGCAGTAATGGCAATCACGAAGATTTTCAAGAAGTTACGATTTAAGCCTTCAGATGGCAGCAGCGTTTAGTCGCAATTCTACCAACAAATTTCAACCGGTAATACAACGATCTGAAATGACGACTGTGTAGCATAGATGCTCTCTCTCTCTCATAGCCCACCCGCGAAATGGTACTAGTTAAAAGTGGAAATGGTCTAAAGTGCAGAGGTTTCTCAGCCTGGATGTAACGTGTTAAGGACATCTACTTCTGAAGTTTATAATATTATAACAAATTGACATTATGGGTATTTAGGGGCATATGTGAACAAACAGAATGGACCTGATGATTACTGCATGACAGTTGAAACAAGTTCAGTGAGTGATCTAGTGTAGTGCTGTAACAATTCAATACGATAGTCTACGCTGGTGAAGTTGTGTAAAGAGTGACACAATAGTAGAATGATAAAATTCCTGTTGTGAATTGGTCAGTAATATCAGAAGCCAACTGTAACTTTTAAGTATGTTTAGTCATATTGCAGTGTATTTCCATGGGGGTATTAATCTTTGTGAGCTGTCCTGTGTGTGTCAATCCCTCCAAAACGTTGGAAACATATATAATTTTAATGTACGCTGTGATCTTCCGATTTGTCTGTTCCCTTCAGGATTTCCAACCTCTAATTCTCCCCTAATACCCCCTAAGATGTCTTCGCGTACCCCCGGGGGTACGCGTACCCCAGGTTGGATACCACTGAAATAAACCATAAAATTTATGCGAATTATTAAATACTGCCACGTTAGATCTATTGAGACTTCTTTAAGCAGACAAGGGGTAATTCAATGTGATTTGTAGTGAGTAAACACTTCAAAGAAAAACGGAATTACATTCGGAACGAAATTTACGAAGAGTCTCTTTCTAAACGCACACTCTTCGCGGTACGCTTGAATTTAACATGTTCTCTGCTAGAAACGATGACGCTACTCTTCGATCCGCGCTTTCGAGCGTCGAAACACCCGCTCGGAACACAGCCATTGATTGCTTGCTGCGTGGCGCTGCAAGCTCGGTACATACTCTGGCGGCGAGGGGTGTAATGAGGGAGTTTCCAGTGTTCAGTTATCCGAGTAGCGTCGTTCGTCAGAGTTGAACATGGTCTTGGTCCAACATCGGTTGTGGCTCTAGTTCTTCTACCATCCATCCTTCCTTCCTTCACTCCTCCCTACTTCCTTCCTTTCTTCTCAGTTCGTCAATCCACTCATTTCTTCTTCTTCTTCTTCAGTAGCAACAGCATTCACTCGTCTGGTGCCTAGTGCTCGCCCATTGTTCAAGCAAGGTAGGAAACCTGCATTTCTCTGTCTCTTGTGTTGTCACCACGTAACGTTTCGTAACAGCGGTGACAACCAGGACACAGTTCATTTCTAATAAAGACTGAAGTTACGTAACATTATCAACATAGCCGTGATCATTAATTATCGTTGTAACCTTCTGTGTATTCGGAACATCGATTCCTTGCGTTTTATGCATTGGAAAATATGAACGCTGTTAAAAAGCCTTAATTTTCTCGGGATGTAGAGTTGAAGATTCCTTGAAACTTCCTATAAATGTTACGGTTTCTTGTAGAAGACTGAGGTACTAGATGTCTACTTTGGTCTTGTGGGTTGGACACTAAGGTAGATAACTTTTCAGGGTTAAAGTGACATACAAATCCACACGGCGTTACAACCCAGAAGACGAAAATCGACAATCGGTTTTCTCGTTTGTGTAATTGAAACAGTTGCTGTCTAGTTTAAACTTGTAGAAGAATTGTGGTTATGAACTACAATACGTTTCAGACGTGCAGAGCAGTGGGTGATGGAAAAAGAAATCCAATAATTATACTGTTGCTTAGTCTTGTCATTGCACCATTTGTTTTTCAATTTAACGTGACTTTAGAAGTAAAATCAATGTAAGTGAGTGAATTTTGGCCGGTACACGTTCATTTTTCGTTATGCACTGAAGCGTACATTGAAGACACTTTTGTTTTTGTGTATTGATTTCTTACTCATCGATGTTCCTTTACTCGCGAATTGTGGTTCTGTTAAGCGTCTGTAATACTGAATTGTATGGGGGGCAACTGGTGGTATAGAGAGAGATGAATTTAGAAACTGACTTTGTTAACTGGAAATTCAGGCATACATTTGTGAGGATGTGAAATGAATTTGCTAAGGATAACTTTTTGTTTGTGTGTTTTGTGTGGCGGGAAAGAATGTTCTTGATAATTTCTCAAGACTGTGGCCAAACCAATTTTTACACATGGAATGATAGCGTTTTTGGTAACTGCGACTTGTAGTAATTTGTTATTGCTTGAAAGTAGCATGTTGCCAGGCGAGCTAGTGAAAATTTCCCAGGATTGATTTTTCCATCCTCTGAGCGTGTTTATGTCGTGTATCGCCGCGTGTCTGGTTTATCAAATTGCGTGATTCTGTATAAGAGCGATTGGCGACACTCGAAGGGAAATGTCGGGAAGTAGAGAACTTGTATTACGTATTAAATTTTTTTTGTATTCTTGTCTCAGGATGAACAAATTTGACTTGCTGATGAACTACCAGGGTAGGAGCGTGACCTTTTTAATATTGTTAGTTAAATCTCGAGCTGAAGATTTTGACATGCATCATACAATACAACTATAAAAATATTAGCTTTAAGTTAAGAAAGTTAAGGGGGAGGGGAATGTATGTAAAATAATAAAAATACTTAGCGGCTACTGAGTCTACCTTATTTAATTACACTTTGTACGTCAATTCTATGCCACTACCCCCCCCCCCCCAAAGAAAAGAAAAG